TTCTTCACAATTTTGTGAATAAATGCTGATAATCAAAAGATTCCAAGAGTTGATAGAGAAGGTGGGAAGATATCTCTCTAGTCAAAGTGTGAAGACTGTAGACTAAATGTGTCTTTTCTTTTGTAAAAAATAAAGTCCTGTGCTCTCTGAATCATAAGGTAAAGGATGCACCGTGTTAAGAAAGTGGTGGAATGGAGAAGGCAATGGGAAAGCTTTCAGTTAGAAAATCTTTAGGAATTGCCTCTACCATGGACTTGGATTGAAAAGTTTCCCTCACTGTTTTGAATCCAACAACTTCTCCTAAAACCTGATTCTGTTACTTCAGGATCCTAAAGGCTGCAGTTGGAAATAACACCATGGAACTTAAAACATTGGAAACAGTAACAGAAGGTAGACATATCAGGGGTAGAGGTAACAGAGAGTGTTCAGTGTGGAAGAAACCCCATGGGCACATCTCATAGAGGTAGGGCACATTTGGTAATAGGGACACATCTTGTTTAGGGAGGATACAGACAGCCATGCATAGTTCTCAGAAAAACAATTGAAAGTTAACTTTACGACTTGGAGGTGAGGTGGGGGTGGGGGTGAAAGAAAGTGGGAGAAAAATGAGGAAGAGGGTAACAATGTTCAACAAGAAATGTACTCACTACCTCACATATGTAACTATAACCACTCTATATCACCTTGACAATAAAATTAAATTAAAAAAAAAGAAAAACAGTTGGCTCAAACCCAAAATCCTAGCTACTTAGAAGGTTGAAATCTGGGGATCATGATTTAAAGCCAGCCTGGGCAAGAAAGCCCATGAGACTCTTATCTCTAATTAAGCACCAAAAAAAATATTGGGAGGTGGAATTGTGGCTCAAGAAGTAGAGGACTGGGGGTTGGGGAGGTGGCTCAGTGGTAGAGCGCTTGCCTTGCATGCATGAGGCACTGGGTTCGATTCCCCAGCACCACATAAGCAAAAAGAAAAAAGCCGGAAGTGGCGCTGTGGCTCATGTGGTAGAGCACTAGCCTTGAGCTAAAAGAACTGAGGGACAACGCCCAGGCCCAGAGTTCAGGCCCCACGGCCGGACCCCCCCCCAAAAAAAGAAGTAGAGGACTAGTCTTGGGTATAAAAGCTCAGGGACGTGCCTAGGCCCTGAGTTCAAGCCCAAGGACCGGCACACACGCACACAAACATACATGTACACACATGATTACTTTACCTGCCATTCATATCTCAACTCAACACAATTAAGAAACTGCCTCATGGAATAAGCTTCTAAACAACAATGGTTTAAGTAAGACATACCGTTATTTACCTCACTACAGCCAGAAGTAGGTAGGCCATGGTAGCTTCACAAACTCATTAGGGATCCTGTGTTTGCTTTACTGATCCACCATTCTAGAGTTTGATTTGACTCCTTAAGTCTTTTAATTGAAGGGGAATACAACCTTTGGTTGTATTTATCTACAAATTAGATGTCCTATTACTAAGGAGGAAGAGAAGAATGAATTTCTGGATAAGTCCCTAGCTGTTGAAACCACAAATAGTTACTCTAATAATGTTTCTTCCAAGGTCACTAGAAATCACTACTAAATTGTCAAAACTCCTTTAATTTTTTTTAGCCTTTGCTCTTCTTGACTTCTGGGCAGCATTCAACACGGTTGATAATAGTCCTCCAAGGTCAGTAGAGATCACTACCCAATTGTCAAAATCCCTGGGCATATTTTTTTAATTTAATTTGCTTTTCTTGACTTCTGGGCAGCATTGATCATGATTAACAGATCTCTATGTGTCTCTGTGTCTGTCTCTCTGTGTTTGTCTCTCTCTCTGTGTCTCTGTCTCTGTCTCTCTCTCTCCCCTCTCCCCCATACTGGGAACTCTGCATCCAGGCTATGTCCCTTAGCTCTTTCACTCAAAGCTGGTGCTCTACCACTTGAGCCACAGCTCCCCTTCCAGCTTTTTGGTGCTTAATTGGCAATAATTTCTCGGATTTGTCTCTCTGAGCTGGTTTTGAACTGTGATTCTCAGATCTCAGCCTCCTGAGTAGCTATAATTACAGGATTGAACCACTAGCACCTAGCTTCCTTTTAATTTTTTCCCACTCTTTCCTGAATCCAATTACTTCCCACTACCTCCTTTGTTACCACCATAGGCCAAATAACAACCATTGCTTACTCAGATGACTTCCAAGGTCATCACTTCTCTCCTCATTTCCAAGATGACAGCTGATCTACACCTCCATATAACAACTTAGATTGTTTCTTCTAAAACTCAGTCTATGTTGCAACTATCCTTAGGGACTTTAAATAACCTCTCAGAGTTCTTGGGATCAAGACTGAGTTTTTATGCCGATAAACAAGGCTTGATATGATTTAGAAGGGACAAAAATTTAGGGCACTAGAAATGGAAGAAAAGGAGAAGCTACATTTGTGTGGTTAGGGGAGAGAAGCTAGGAGGCAAGAAAGTGATGAGGTGAAATTGCATCCTGGAGGAAACAAAATTCAGAAAAAGGAAACAACTATGGAAGCCCACCTTCAATAGGTGTGTCTGTGTGTGTGTGTGTGCGCGCGTGCGCATATTTTAGGGAGAGAAAGAAAAAGAAAGGAATAAATAAATTAATTACCTGTATAGCATAGGGAATTGTGATAGTTTATGGCTTAGTAAGGAAAATATGACCTCACAAAGTAGATTTGTAAAATGGTTTAAATCACATTTAAATGTAGGAAACGGACCCTGTGTTATGTTGTACTATGGTTTCTACTAAGTTTTTAATTGAGTTTGTTTACTTTCTATAATTTTTACATTTTATTTTGTCTCCTGAACACACCCAACTACTTATGTGAATTATTATATGGTAAATGTGCTATTTCAAATAAGTAAGGGAAAAGATGGTATAGTTTGTAAATTGTATATGATATTGGAGGGTAATGCAGGTGAACTTTTACACAGAGTAAAACTTTGGATGATCCAACATTTAAATATAAATAATAAAAGCATAAAAGTACTTTAAAAACAAGGATTATTATACATAAAAGTGGTGAATGCAACAAGAAGCCGAATTCAGTTATGAAAAAGAAAAAGAGGGCTGGGAAGGTGGCTCAGTGGTAGAGTGCTTGCCTTGAGGCCCTGAGTTCCATTCCTCAGCACCACATAAGCAGAAAAAGATGGAAGTGGCCCTGTGGCTCAAGTGGTAGAGCGCTAGCCTTGAGCTGAAGAGCTGAGGGACAGTGCCCAAGCCCAGAGTTCAGAGGCCCCCACAAGTGACAAAAAAGAAAAAGAAAAAAGATGATCACATTTGTCTACATAATAATTATCCCTTTTGTATAGTCAAAATTATCACAAATGATGCAAAAATTATTTGTGCTATATGAGGCAAAACATATGATAGACATTATTGGAAATGTAATTTAGGGGAATAAGTTGATAAATGTAGCATCAAAATGAAAAACCATTGATGGGCATCTAGCTGGTTATGAATAGCGAAGTGACAAACATGCAAACAGGTTTCTCTAGAGTAAGCTGACTTTAGACAGACTCAAACACATAAACATGAGGTGGCGTTCTCATATATGGAATTTACCAGCTACTAAGGACATAAAAGTGTAAAGGATGGGTCAGAAAAGGCAACAGATTGGTGAATCGGATCAGAGTAGAACACATGCATATATGTAATGTGTAATGAAATCCACTACTTCATATGATGAAGTAAGAAAATGGAAGACTTGTTTTGGTTTTATTTGAGTTAGCAAAAAATACCATGTAGCTATTACAATGTTCCTCATAGCATTTTTATATCAAGAAAAGGGGGAAAATCCAAATGTTACATATGCTGGACCACCTAACTAATTTTATGGAACATATACAAAAGAAAAGTTTGTGCAGCTGTTAAGAAAAAAGTACACTAAGGGAAAAGATGTCTAACTACATCACAGAAGAAAAGCAGGTCACAGAACAGTAGATATAGTGTGCTGTGTGTAAGGAGAAAACCCAAATAATTAATACATGAATAAAAAAATCTGGAGGAATGTATATCAAAATGTTAATAATGGTTACTTCTGGGCAATGAGATAAAGGCAGCCTTTCATTGGTCTGTTACATATTTCTTCATAATTCTAATTTTCACCACGACAACACATTACCTTTGTAGTAAGAAAAAATAAGGATATAAAAATAAATAAGTTCAATGAATGAACCGCTTTCAGGGGGTGGTTTGAGTTGGAAAGGCTTCAGACCGAGCCTGGTACAGTGGCATAAACATGGGCTTTGGCGTCAGACAGCCCTGAGCGGGGCCCCATTGCCCCACCCCCGAGGAAAGCGAGGGAGGGGGGTGGCAGGGGGCTGCGGAAAGGGGCTGGGCTGGGCTGTCTGCAGCTTTAGTCTAGGAGGCTGAGACTTCGAGAGGGACTGAGAGAGAGAGCAGACGCCTCTGGGACTCGCTCGAGGACAAGGTGAGGGGAGTTGTGATTGGGGTTTCTTGGAAGCCAGACACTGGTTCTAACTCCTTGGAACTCACAGTCAGGCAGGTGGGCATTTCTTTCTACACTATTTCAGCTGGAGTAGAGGTGACCTGGAGTGGGGTGTAAGCACTGAAGACGACTGAGAAAGTAGACAGTTTATGACCTGGACAGTAGAGAGTAACGGAGGAAGAAGAAAGCAAAACAGGGGACGGTGCACGTTAGGTGTGGGACGGGGAACACGAAGGAAGAGGGGAATCTTGAGGGGGGAGTGGAGCTCCAGAGACGAGACTAGTGAATGCAGAGAGGGGTCAAGCAGTATTGGGGGGAGGGCGCGCACAGGTAATACAGAGGAAGGTGTAAGGAACGGGAAGAGGAATTATGCAGAGTAAATAGGAAATGCGATAAGGGAAAAGAGAGTAGGGAGCTAAGCAGAGGGAATAGGGAGGGGGCATTAGGAATGAGCAGCAGGGAGGGGGAGGGGCAGACTGGCTGGGACAGAGGCCCCCTAGGGAGGCGGAAAGGGGCGGGACCACTTCCGGCCCGGAGCGGGGAGGGCAGTCTCGGAGTTTCAGAGGGGCTTGTACAGAGTGGACACACTCGCGACTTGGAGGTGGACGAGGTGAGCCGCGGGGCAGGGCTTTGGATAAGAGCCCGTTAGGGCTCGGTCCCACCCTCTGGGATCTGGAGAAAAATCTGCTCTAAGGATCGGATCATACTGGATCCATCTGGCTGAAAAGGGAGGGAGGGGATCAGACCCCTTTTGGCTGAGTTCAGGATGGAATCACTAGTTCAACACTGAGTTGAGGGGGTGTTAATAGGGAAGGGGTGGAACCAAGATGCGTTCTGCAGTCAGGAGGGGGCGTGTTAGGAAAAAGGGCGGGACCTGGAGGCTGTGGACTTGGTGTGGTTGATGTGAGAAGGGGAGGGGCCAGGACCACCGGACGCAGCGGTAGTTTGGAAGGGAGGCTTGTTGAGGAGGGGGCGGGACCGAGTGGCCATGCAGACCTGGAGAGGGGTGTGTATTGAACTGAGACGGAGAACATTGCGCATGCGGATTTTGTATCGCTAAAAAGGGGCGTGTTAAGAAGGGCCAGCACCGGGCCCGCTGCCTAATGCGCATGTGCACGGTGGACATCAAAGAAAGGGCTTGTATTGGGAAAACAGGCGGAGCTGAATGGGTCCTGCGGCTTAGGCGCATGCGCACTATCGACCTGCGACTGGGGGGGCTGCATTGGGAAAAGGGGCGGGGTCCTCAGTGCTGCCGCGCTGGCACATCTTCCTGGAGAAGGGGAGGGTGCGGCCGCAGAGAATTAGGACCTAGACGTTTTGGATTTCTGTGCCTGAGAACCGAGTTGTTGGGGGTGGGGGAGGGGTTGGGGATTGGGGCCCTAGGGAAGGTGAGGATCAGCTTCCAGGGAGCACAGAGGAGAGGACGTTGTTCATTGGGTTCTCCACTTGATCCAGGCCTTCTCTTCAGGCTCAGCTCTTGCCAGGCCAACTTCAGACATGTCTGACACAAGCGAGAGTGGTGCGGGTTCAACTAGCTTCCAGGTAAGACCTCTTTCTCCCCCCACCTTCTGTCTCTGTTGATGCTTCTTTCCAGCCCCTATAGCTTCTTCATATCCCTTGGCACTTCCCCTCCCATCCTCATCCTCCACCCACTTCTTGCCTGGGTGCCCCCTCCCCTCCGTGGAGGGAGGAAGAGAGGGGAGGAGAGGGGAAGAAGACAGAGTGGGCGGGTCCTTGTTTAGAGGCACGGGAGGCCTTGCTGCATGGACCTAAGTGGTCAGAGCACACTGCAGGTAGGAGTCAGCACAGGTCAGAGAAGTGTGGTCTTGGAATTTGGGGGGCATTTTGCTTAGTTGGGAGTGGGGGGGGCCAGTGAGTTTTCCCTGCTTACTTTTGCAGGCTACAGCTTCTGAAAAGGGCAGTGGCTCCAGAATGCCTACTCTGTTGACAGTGACCCAGAACTCAGAAGTCCCAGAGACACTAAAGGCCTCAAAGGCTCCAGAGGTCTCCGAGGCTACAAAGGGCTCAAAAGCCTCAGGGGTCTCAAAGGCCACAAAAGTCTCAAAGGCCACAGAGGCTCCTGAGGCAGCTACCACCAAGGCCTCACCTGCTACACAGCTGACTGATACCCAGGTTCTTGAAACTGCAAATAAGAGCCCAGCAGCTGACAGCAAGGCCCAGAAGGCTGACCTGAAGGCTGTGACAACACCTGCCACTGAGACCAAAAAGGTCAGCTGTGTGGCTGATACGAAGGCCAATACAAAGGTCCCAGAGACTGAGGCTGCTGCCTCTCAGGCTCCGAAAGATGAACCCGAGCCTGAGGTTGCAGCTGCCCAGGTTCAGGAGAATCAGGATACTCGACCCAAGGTCAAGGCCAAGAAAGTCCGAAAGGTAAGACCTGTATGGCCACTACCCTTGCTTTTCTACTCCTATCCTAACACTTGGGTTATTTGTTCTGCAAATATTTAGAAAGATCCCTGTGCTTATCCTGGTCACCAGGGACACAGAGGAATGTGATAGAATTCCTATCTGCAGAGAGCTCACAGACTGCTGGGAGATGAGATAGGAATATACATAGCTGCAATCTGAATGTGATGCCCTTTGTATTTACATAGTAACTGCCTGTGTGCTAGACCTTAAGTGAGGCATATTCATATAGGTTATCTTATTAAAACATAAAAATAACTCTTAAAGTCTCAGTTGATTTTTGTGCTATTACTGCTGCTTGAACTCAGGGCTTGGGCATGATGTCTTAGCTACTTTAGTAAAGGCTGCTGCTCTACCACTTGAGCCCAACCTTCACTTGCAGTGTTTTGGTGATTAATTGGAAATAAGAAAAGCTCTGACATTCTTTCCTACCTGAGCTGACTTCAAACTGTGAAATCTTTAGATCTCTGTCTCCCGAGTAGCTAAGGTTGCAGATTTGAGCCACTATTGCCTGGCTTAAAAATCTCAGTGTTATAGAGAAGCAAGCTAAATCCCAGAAAGGTAAGTGATTTGTCTGGAATGGTCAAAACAGAGCCATTGGGGATGGAACTGTGGAAAGTAGTGAGAAACTCAGGACTCAGCATGGTCATAGTCTAGAGAGTCTGGCTATCATTACAGAAGTAGGATTAGGGCAGGATTCCTGAAAGAGATAGTGGGAAGAAGAAGGACAACCTGTTTTATCTGGTGATGTTGAACTTCCTCTCTGTTGATGCAGGTGAAGCATCTGGATGGAGAAGAGGATGGCAACAGTGAGCAGAATCAGGATTCTGGGACTACGGGTGGTCATAGGGTCTCAAAGGCCCTAATGGCCTCAATGGCCCGCAGGGCTTCAAGAGGGCCCATAGCCTTTTGGGCCCGAAGGGCATCAAGGACTCGATTGGCTGCTTGGGCCAGGAGAGCCTTGCTCTCACTCAGATCACCCAAAGCTCGCAGGGGCAAAGCCCGTCGTAGAGCTGCCAAGCTCCAGTCATCCCAAGAGCCTGAAGCAGCACCACCCAGAGATGTGGCCCTTTTACAAGGGAGGGTAAGTACTTCATCCTTTCTATCTTGCCTTTGCTATTGCCTTGCCTGCCATCTTCTCTGTCATCTCCTGGTTTTCTGCAAACATTTTTTTTCTTTTCACCTTTTCTTCCACTCTCAGGCAAATGATTTGGTGAAGTACCTGTTGGCTAAAGACCAGACAAAGATTCCCATCAAGCGCTCAGGTAAAGTTCTACTAAAATTTCCCAACCCATGCTCTGGCTGGATTCTAAGGGACATCCTTTACTCTTATGCTCCTGTCTCCTTTTCCAAAGTTCTACTTTGGCAGTGTTAGCACCTCCACTTATAAGCCCAGAACCTGATAATGCTACCTGTGGCTTAGATGACAAAGGATCTATAGCTTGGGTACAGGGGCCACCTGGCATCTCTTTAGCCCCAATGCTTGCAACACTCTCCCCTTGCAGACATGCTGAAGGACATCATCAAAGAATACACTGATGTGTACCCTGAAATCATTGAACGAGCAGGCTATTCCTTGGAGAAGGTGATGGGGCAGCCCTGGGGGATGGGCACACTGGGGAAGCCATGAATGAAACACAGTTGTACAGTGGCCCTTTAGGAGGAACCACAGAAGCTTATTAATACAGTGCCGTTGCTGTGCACAGTGGCCTAGGGAATGGTGTGTAGACCAGCCATGGGTCACATAACAAGTCAGTGGTAAAAACAGATCAGACCTAAGCCCCCAGCTTATGACTTTTGTCTACTGCTACTGCACATATCCTGTCCTGTGTTTTAGATATTCACTTCCGTGTCTCCCTAGATTCCCAGAAACACAAAGATGAGGTTGATGACAATCATATATTTGTTGTGTGTTTACTGTGTGCCAAGTACTTAGTTTTGTGCTTTATACACAGTCACACTGACTACTCATACATGCAAAACCCTTACGAACATGGGGAGCTGCAGGATGCCCAGGAAGCTCATTAAGACCTAAGCTGATCTCACAAGCTATTCTCTCCATTCACAGGTATTTGGAATTCAATTGAAAGAAATTGATAAGAATGACCACTTGTACATTCTTCTCAGCACCTTAGAACCTACTGATGCAGGCATACTGGGAACGTAAGCTGAGAAAGTTCTGGGGTGGGAGGGGGGCTTCTGCTTTTATCCATGCCAGTACTTCTCCCTTCCCTCTCTCCCTCCATCCTTGGGGGTCAGGAAAGACAGGGCCTAAAAAGCCCCTGCCCCAGTTCTTACACATGGCTCAAACCCTGTATGAGGTAGTGGTGCCTGATTATGACTGACTGAAGGATGTAGAAGCCTGGGATGGGGCATTCCTGCCATCAGGTTTCTCTTCTCCAGAAACTTTGCAAGCAAGCATGCCTGTTGTTACTTGTCTGTTCCTTTTGAGTACCTGGCCTGGTCTTGATAGAGTCTAGTTCAAGGGAGAGGGAACTTCTCTCTCTCTGGGTGTGGGTATGTATGTACTATGATGTTTGAGGGGTAGTAGTGTCATGGAGGCTCTGACTTGAAGTCTGTCAGGCCTGTGGGCTCTGGGAAAGCAAGAACTCACATTGACTGGCTGCTTATGTTGTACCTGGTTAACTGGCATTCTTCCATTTTCTTGACAACAACCCCTGGAGTGAGTTAGGATATGCTTTTTCCTCTATTGAATCAGAGACTTTGGCTCAAGAGTCTTCAGTTGTTTGCCTTGGGTTACAGGGAACTGGAAGCATAGACTGAGATGCATTCTCCTGTATATGAGGAATCTGGACAGGGCTAGTGAACTGGCTTGTGTATCTTGGAGATGACTCCTAGACATAAACTTTCCATCCTATTATCCTCTTAGGACCAAGGACTCACCCAAACTGGGTCTCCTCATGGTGCTCTTGAGCATCATTTTCATGAATGGAAATCGCTCCAGTGAGGGTGAGTGGCTGGGCATGCAGCTGAATGGGTGACTGTGGTCTGAATTCCACATGCTCATTTTCTGTCCCTGTTTCCTCTTGCCTCCCCTTGCAGCTGTCATCTGGGAGGTGCTGCGCAAGTTGGGGCTGCGCCCTGGGTATGATTGGGCTCTCAGCGCTTGCTGTCCGTGTTGTCCTTTGGCAAGAGAGGATGGTCTCAGGATTACATCAGTTTGGTGGTCTGGTGGAGCTGGAGGGGGGTTGGGCTGGTTTAGAGGCCCCAGGGTTCTGACTTGGGTGAATTAGGGAAATGTTCTGAACTCTGTCTTCCCTTCTCACAATCTCTTGAGCTTCCGTGGAGTTCCTCCCTATGTTGGAAACTTCTTTTCCATCTTGGAAATGCCTACATGTACACATGGGAAATCCCACAGTTCCAACTGTACTTATTTGTTCTTTTTCTCTCTCTTCTGCTCTCAGGATACATCACTCACTCTTTGGGGATGTGAAGAAGCTCATTACTGATGAGTTTGTGAAACAGAAGTAAGTGTGTTTGGTGTTGGTGTGTTCCAGGTATTTTTGCCTGTTTCAGAACTGAGTGATGAAGCCATAATACATGTATGGAGTAGTAGGTTATTTCCAGGCTGATGATGGATCAGGTGTTACCTTTATCATCTCTCCCATGGGTCTTCAGTACCACTCTGCAGGCAGGAATTAGTGTCACCAGCATTGTACACATGTGGAAAACTGATGTTCAGAGGGGTGAAGTCATTTGCTCAGTTGCACAGGTAGGAAGTGAAAGAGTTGTGTTTAGAATGACTGGGTTGTTCTCTGTGCTAATCAGAGCTTCATAGAAATTAATTTCCATAAAATTTCTCTAGAATAGGCTAGGTTTTGTGCTGGGGACTTGACCAATATATCTGACTTGATTTTCATAACCACCTTGTATAAGATTACCCATCCATCTTTTACACTTGGGGGCTTAGGTCTCTGGGCAGGGATATTTGAGCTTGGCCCACAGCTGATAAAAGACTCATTTTGGCCTGGAGTCTAGCCTTGTTGACTTCCTGGCCAGAGTCCACCCTATTGTTTGTCTTTGGAGAATATGTGAGCACTCACATAGACAATTACAGGTTTTGTGAACACACAAATACACGCATTGACATACATCAGTAATATACATGGATCGTGCTGCTATTGGTTGGCTATTTCCTTCCTTTGGTGCTCTCAGGAATTTTCTATACTGCATCTTTCCAGGGCTCAGCTGTGCCTCCTTCATGTCCCTTTTGCAATGGGGTGTGCTCAGAGCAGAGAAGCTGAAGAATAGCTCCTCTGTTTACAACATACCCAACAGGAATCTGGGGCAGTTGTAGTGAGGAGACATAACACTTGTGGCCTCCTTATGAGCAAGTGCCCTACAGGTGTCCCCTCTGCATCTCTACATGGCTTTCAGGAAGGGCCATTGGAACAGGGCTCAACATTGTGTGGGGAGAATATTTAGTTGGACCAATTAGTTGGAGAGGTGCCAGCTAGAGCCTCTCTGATCTGAGCATAGTGGAGCTATGATTGGGCTCTTTATTCCTAGGAATAAAGATGTTGAACCTCTCTTTTTAAGGTACTTGGACTACGCCAGAGTCCCCAATAGCAATCCCCCAGAGTATGAATTCTTCTGGGGTCTGCGCTCTTACTATGAGACCAGCAAGATGAAAGTCCTCAAATTTGCTTGCAAGGTAATTGGAAAGTTGCCTGAACTTGGCATAGGAAGCGCATGCAGTGTATCCAGGCTGAGATAGTCTGTGCAGATCAGCCTGCAGTTCATATCTGCACATTCGAAGTTGTCAAGCACTACTATGGCAGACACTTTATCTGACACTATCAGACACATTTAATACTTCCAACTGATAACACCACCCTGTATTGCAGGAGAGAAAACGGAGGCCCAGAAAACTTGCTAAGTGACATGTCCAAATAATGGAACTAAGGGTCCATGTAGGGATGGAGTAGTATGTGCAGAATTCCATTCAGCATTTAGAAAAGTGTGTAGTGAAGAGTACATGCTTAAGCACCTGACTACGATCCTTCTAATTGTTGTTATTCCCATTTCAGGTACAGAAGAAGGATCCCAAGGAGTGGGCAGCTCAGTACCGAGAGGCAATGGAAGCAGACTTGAAGGCTGCAGCTGAGGCTGCAGCCGAGGCCAAGGCGAGGGCTGAGATTAGAGCTCGAATGGGCATCGGGCTCGGCTCTGAGAATGCTGCTGGGCCCTGCAACTGGGATGAAGCTGATATTGGACCCTGGGCCAAAGCCCGGATCCAGTCAGGAGCTGAAGCTAAAGCCAAAGTCCAAGAGAGTGGTGGTGCCAGTGCCAGTACCACTACCAGTACCAATGCCAGTACCAGTACTGGTGCCAGCGCCAGCGGTGGCTTCACTGCCAACAACAGCCTGAGCGCCACACTCACATTTGGGCTCTTCGCTGGCCTGGGTGGAGCTGGTGCCAGTAGCAGTGGTAGCTCTGGTGCCTGTGGTTTCTCCTACAAGTGAGATCAGGTATCTGCCTTTGTGATGATGGAAGTACCTGGGCTTTGTGGGGATGGGAGGAAAAGCTGAAGCCTAGGTTGGGGAATAATGGGGACCTTGTGCAAAGATACGGTTTTTGACATTTTATTCCTTCCTCTTTGGTGGCTATCAATTGACTTTTTATTCTCTTTTACTTGTGTTTGCAGATACTGGTAATCTCAGCAGTCTTTCTCTTCAAGTCAGGGTGCACCCTCAGAAACATACTCAACACAGCACTCTAGGCAGCCACTATCAATCATTGAAGTTAACACTCTGCATTAAATCTATTTGCCATTTCTGAGTTCATTTTTTGTTTGTTTTTTGTTTCTGTTGATGTGGGGGTTTTGTTGGGGGGTGGTTGGCACATTCTGCTATCACATTTTAACAGGAATTGGGAAGGTTTCCATCTCAGTTGATGCTATGTATCAAGTACTGCTGTCCTTGATCCTGTGATATTGTTGTATTCCTGGAAGCAAGATTATCACAGGTCTCTGGGCTAGGTTGGACCCCATTGCTAGGCTTCAGCCTTTCTGAGGGGGTGGAATCACTCTTTGAAGATGCACCAAGAGGTAAGTTTGGAGCAGAAAACAGAGGTAGAGGAAACTGGACATCATATGTAGACATGAATGAAGCAAGTAAGAGGTAGGTAGTTAAGACAAGAAACAGGAACAAGGGAACATTTTAATGGGGAAAGAATGCATAGCTTGCATGGCAAGAGCCAGTGGGGAGGGAGAAGCTGGGTCATGACTCATGAAGCCCTAGCCCTGAGCAGGTAAGAGGGGATGGGGAGGAGGTAAGGCATGGAAGGAGGTACTGTCTAGACAGGACTTCAAGAGAGGACTGTAGAAATATGTAGAGTGTTGTAAAACATGAATAGGCTTAGAAAAGAATGAGAGAATGTGAGATAAATTGAGGACAGGGTGGTATTTGCAGATAGAAGTCTCAGTGAAGGCCATGAATGGGAAATAGTGTTAAGTATCCTGGGTGGATACTGCATGTCTGACAGCATTATGCGTTATCTGGGAGGGGCGAGGAGAAAACTAAATTTGAACTGGGGGATGACAAGGTCCAAGTAGTGAGTGGTTGAAGGAACAAAGATGGTAGTTCCTGCAGATGACAGGCTTGGTAGGCCAGGGTATTGGTTGGGCTACCCATATGGACAATCAAATCACCTGGATGATGGCAGGGAGTTGGGATTGAGTGGCTTAGGAGTCAGGTACCTAAATCCCTGACTGTGATTGAAAGCAGTGTTCTCCAAGCTGCACTACCCACTAAGGGACAGGGCTCTTGGGCTATCAGAAACTCATTCCCATATTTTAGGGGATACTGCCCTGCTCCTTTAGGAAGTTCTCACCACTTCATCTCTGTATCACCAGGTTCTTCATCACTGGGCTAGTCTGATGGACAATGAGGCCCTTTTTATGGCTACCTCTTCCCACTTGTAGACCCAAGAACCAAAGGAGAAATGTGGATTAAAGCTTAAGAAGTAGGTTTGGGGGGGGGAGGTAAGCCTCCATCAGTGGCTTACACCTATAATCCTAGCTACTGAGGAAGCTGAGGATCATGGTTTGAAGCCATCCAGGGCAGGAAAACCATGAGATTCTTATCTCCAATTAACCAGCAAAAATATAGTAGCAGAGCTGTGGCTCAAGTGGTAGAGCATTATCTTTGAGCTGAAAAAGTGCAGGGACTATGCCCAAGGTCCTGAGTTCAAGCTCCAGAATTGACCGAAAGTAAAAATAGAAATAAAAACACCCCTCCAACCAGAGTTGCATGGTCTCTTGCCTGTGGCCACCAGTTGAGACTTGTTTTTCACTACTGATGTGGTCTTCACTAGAAGATCTTCAGTTGATACCCAGTCCATGGTCTTCTCAAGGTGTTAGGCAGTGCCCAGGGCAGGTAGACAAGGTCAGAGGCAACTTTGGCCTCCGAGGGAGGACTCCTGTGTATACTGCCTTAGGTTACCCCAGATTGCTAATTATCCCTAATGAAGGGATGGGGATAGTGGAGGGTGGTGAGGAAACTCAGGGACTGTGATTTTGTAACAAAGATTGAGTTTGAAGTACTTCATAGAGTTAAGGGGGAGTCATAGTCATGAAGAGCTCTGTCCTCACGACTTACATTCCTTCCACAGGCCACTGATCTTGCAGAACTCCCCACCTCTTCCCTCCCACAAAGCCTAGAATTTGACAGGACAAAGAATTGACTTTGCCTCCCTTCTCAGGCCTTAGAGCAGTGAAAACAGTTGGCCAGAGAATGAATAAGTCTAGTCCATGGCAAAGAGGAGGAGTGTTGGAACATGGCATAGGGGATGGTAGAGCATAGGGACAGATCTTGTTTTAGCCACCATTGCCAGCCTGGATGCCATTACTAAAGTGAATGGATTCCCACAATTTCCAGTTGTTTCTTTAAATATTAGTACAATCAATAGTAAATCAATACAATCCACAAGAAGTATAGATTATATCATGTACTTTTCCCTTAGCTAAGAGTGGGCAAAGCCCCTTGAACCGTTTCTTTACCTATTTATTACCCTTTAAGAAGCCTTTAGACATTTTTGTCCCAACATCTGTGATTTGATTCCTAGTATCATGGATATCAAATCACTGTGTATAGTTATGCTTTGTATATAGAATAAGCATAAATTTTACTCATTTTATTCAACACAGGATTAATAATAATTACATTTTTAAGTTAAAGGTTAAATATGAGAAGCTGGGTACCAATGGCTTACAACTGTAATCCTAGCTACTCAGGAAGCTGAGATCTGAGGAATGCAGCTCTTAGCCAGCCAGGGTAGAAATGTCTTTGAGACTTATCTCCAATTGACCAGCAAAAAGCTGAAAGTAGAGCTGTGGCTCAAGTGGTAGAGTTCTAGCCTTGAGCTGAAATGTTCAGGGACAACACCCAGGCCATTGGTTCAAGCCCTTGGACCTGCACAAAAATAAATAAATATAAAGACAAATCCATGAGAAACCCAGGCATAGCAACTGCCCATTGTACTATGACCCATGGCTTGCTTGGCTCATTGAAGAAGCAGGAGTGTCTGCAGAAAGAACTTGATGGAATTGCTTAGGTTGGATTACCATGTTCATTTCAGTGAACATTTACCAGAGACACAAATATTCCCACCCAGCCCATTCTGAGAGTACGGTTCACTTACTTCTTGATATATGGACGGGCAAAACAATTATTGCTATTCTTTGCACATCATGTACAAAGAACATTATTACACATTATTGTATTATATCATTATCAGTTCTCCAATCTGTTTCTTTGTGGTCTCTGGCTGTCTGGCCTGACTTAATCCATACCGGCATTGCTCAGTGCCCCTGGTCAGGTTGCTTTCTAGTTAACAAGATCTACCAGATGCATGGCCCCTAGTAAGATTGCCCTAGCTTACTTCCTACCGGAGTCAACTTCCAGCTAGTTCCTGCTTATCATGCGGGGCCACTAAGCTCCTAGGCTGCTTCTTTAGGAAGCTGAGTAACAGGAGCTTACACAAAACCCTAAGGGTGAACTGAGGGATAACAAGCAAGAATCCAGAGAAGGTGTCACTGGGAGGTGGGTCTCCTGTGATTCATGGCCTTCAGAACCTGCTCCTGTCTGATCTCCTATAGACCACTGTCCGTTGATGATGGAGGCAATGCCAACATTGGTTGCCAAATTTAGCGTTTTGTGGATCAGACAAAAACACAGGTTGGATGGCCCAAATTGTGGGATCACTTGGGCTCCCATCATTAGGTGTCCAAACACTGCCAAAACACAGTCATTGAACTTTGTTAATTATCATCAGGTGCCAGAAACTGTTTCTCAAAAAGAGAATAGTTATTGGCAAAAAAACAGCTTGTGCTTCTTTTATGGGGGGGGATGTTGCTGAAAATTGAACCCAGTGCCTCATCATTGTTAGACAAACCCTGAGCTACTTCCTAGCTGAAGCTTATGCTTCAATTCTCCCACTGGAGCTTGTCACAGGATCTGTACAGCATTGCAGCCTGTCTGCCAGATATCTGCTCAACTCAATTTATTCATTCAACTACTATGTAATATGATGCTGAGTTTGCAGCCCTGTGCTGTGTTCAAGACTGTTCTCTAGACATGGTTTGAGTCCAGGGCAGGAAATCATGACAGAACTGAGAGAAGCCATGAAGGGCTATAGGAGGCCAGAGGAGCAGGAGATCTGCTTTCCTTCTGTAGATAGTTATGTTATTAGTCACCAGTGGTGTTGATGGTTTGAATGTAATATGTCCTTCAAAGGCTCATGTGCTGAAGGCTTGGTTGCCAAAAGATGAATATTGAGGAAGTGATTGGATCATGAAAACACTAACCTCATTAGTAGACTAAACTTCTGGTGGATTCATATGTTGATGATATTATTTGGCTGTGGTAGAAAGCTGACCTAGTTGGAAGAAATGGGTCATTGGGGGCATACCCTGGAAGGATATATATTGTTCCCCAGCTACTTGTCTCATTCACTCTGCTACCTGACTGCTGTGAAGTGAACTTTCCTCTGCCATGCCCTTCTGCCATGATATTTCTGCCTTGCCACAGGCCTAAAAGCAATGAAGCCAACTGTCTACAGATTTAAACTGTAACCCCAAAGTAATGTTTCCTGCTCTTATGTTTTCACAAGTGTTTTGTCACTGAGATAAAAAGGAACAAAGATCATGCCAGATATATGTATACAAATACACACTAGTTCACATTACCATCTACAAATAGAAGCATTTATTATCTACATCAGCAGTCAGTGTGCATGGGCAGAGGAAGTCTTTGCTTAGGAGGTAGGGCACATGGACTAATCTAATCAGCTCCCTTAAATCATCCATATGAGCTCTCAGGTGCAACCCTGTCCCTCTCTGGACAAATATCCTGGCCTGTAAGATGCTATTAGCTTGGTCTCTGGCAAGCACCTAGACCATTAAATTCCCTTGTATACAGTAGGTTCAACATGAGTGAGCACAACAGCAATGGGAGTGCAGTCAGTGGGAAAGTACTTTCAAACCAGACCTGGTCCAGTATTACTGTGGAAATGAGGATTGTGTGGATACAAGACACTTGTATAGACATGGCCACATGTCCAGCCAGGCTCTGATCTGTGTGGGCAGGGCCAGAGCTAGTTCCATCCAAGAGAGCCAAGAGTGCATGTGGTATCATGAGACAAAGTGATGCCTCCTGTGGCCTCTCCCCTGCTCTGAGGAGTGGGAAGATTGGAGGTCAGATAAAGGCTTCCCTGACAATCTGGAAGGAACAGAAGGAGCCCTGAGGACTGAGGCAGTGCTGAGCTTTGGATAACTCCCTCCTGT